GCTATGGTAAAAATAGCACCGACTGAAGACCGGAATACGCACTCTTGAGTTCTTGACGTGAAATCCCCAGTAACCTGTTGCGTTTTATGCGAGAGATCCGCCGCCTTAGCTTTGCCGTTCCGAATAGCGACCCCGGCACTCTCGGTTGTCGTATGGGCTAGCTCTTGAGCGTGAGATTTCGCATTCTGTGCTATCTCACGGCCGCCTGGTGAAGAAAGGAGAGGGATAACGTAGGCTAAGCTTAGACCCAAGACTTCAAGTTTGAATGGAGAGAGGATCTTGATTAACCAGAATAAAGTTGTGAAGCTAACGAAAGCCTGTTCTTCCGTTAGCTTATTCGCTTGATACAAACCAATTTGGCTGAGACTCACACCAAAAGTCTTTCCTAGGTTCTCGCCATACATGATTTTTTGGACTTCAACCGCGAGATACTGTACAAGGTCATGGATGTCGCTGAGTGTAGCGTTGAGAATCGCCTCCGGAACTTCCTTGTACTCTGGTCGCATACGGGCAACGAAGTCATTTTTGGTCGAGCGGCTGACAATGGAGGTGAAAAAAACCACTAACAAATCACAGGTCAGCATTTGATCTCCCGCTGGTCATATGAATATTATTACATACCTCCAAGGGCCGTTGCACTCATCTTCAAGAGCAATTGAGTACAATGCAAATAGTGCACTCCATACAGGAGCCCTAGAAGGCCGAGGTAGGACCCGAGGGTGCGAACAGGATCCTCCCACTTTAGGGTACATTAGCGGAGTAGATTCATAGCTGTAACTTAACAACATGCAACTGACAGAAATGTACTTGTAAAGGCTGTCGGAATTCGCTAGTATTTTGTCAATCCAATGTTGCTATTCCCAGTTCAGAGATAATACCCATGACTTTTTTCAAAGGTCCTCTTTCCGCTGGTTCTGGTTCTGGGTCCTGATAGTCCTCTGGATGTAGCTTCTCGCGTAATGATTCCTCGATAGCTGTAGCGACTAAACATGCTGAATGTGAGCTGCGGCGACATAAACTTCACGAACTCGAGCATTTACCTTCATTGGGATCTTGTTCTCGAAGAGAACCCTCAGCCTGAATCGGCATGACCACGTAAGTTGCATCACTCATGATTGCTATTTGAGCTATGAATATGATTATTCGAACGTAAAGTATTGTGTTGTCTTAAAAGTTGAATATTGGCAGAAATCCACACACCGTGAAAAAAAGTCGAGCTTTCATGTCTGTCTTCAAATATCAGAAGCAAAAGACCGTTAATAATGCCAATAGGCAGACTGTCAGTATGTTTCATCGATGAGACAATCGGTGCGAATTGAATGACATCAATTGTGTCATCCAAATCTCGTCATACTGGGGCATAAGCTTCGCGGCACTGGTATTTTGTTCTCCATATAATTATTCCCAAGGCTAAATCATTTGAAAGAGTAGCTCGTTCGTTCCCGAGTTGTCAAGCTCCCTCGCAAGTACCTAGGTACGTAGGCATCTTCACCATGATCAATTCTATGGGCCTGGCGATGCACATGCCCAACTATCATATTTGGGGTTGTGTAGCGGTGTGTATTAGGAGTGGGTAAAATATGTTGTAGAAAGGATGGAGGAGGTTACAAGGTAGTCCCCGTGCGGGGTCCTTATATTGCTAAACCTCCCTCCCAGGAGTACCAACAACGGGAAAACTACTACAAGACCACTTAAATACTACGGAATTCCTCCTTTAAACATATTAATTAAGTTTAATACCTTTTATTCTTAAATATTACTAGCGATCCAGCGAACCTTTAACTTAACCCTTGTTTCTAGATTTAAAATGTCACCACTCATTAACAGCTCCGTATTTAACGGCTAACGACCTGATGGTGTTCAAATTACGAGCTAACAACCAGTGACGGAATCTAGTTTGTTCAGATGAGTCAAGCACCTAGCCAATCAATGCCCTTACTATGAGCTGTTGATTCATCAGGCGTAAGAGTGACATATCCCATAGATGTTCTGGAGTCAATATATATTATACATGCATGCTTTTTATGCCGGTTCATATACGTGGCGTCTTGCTCCTGTTTCACTCACGGGATGGATCTTGTGTGATGAAAAGCAACTGTGGTGGATGGAATTGGTACTCATAGGCCTATTAACTAAAGCACCCTTATCTTTCGGGACACCCACCTTTGCTATACACCTTTAGTAGAGTGGTGAACAGCTGCATGATTTATTTTCCCCCTGCGCAGGAATCCTTCAAGGTTGCCCACTCGCAGAAAAAGCATTAATATCACAATATTAATCAATATAGAACTCCTATTAAGCATACACGATTAAGAAAATTACCTAGTTAAATCCGCGGTTAAACAGCGAATAAAATAATATTACTCCGAATATACTGCTAGTTTATACCCGTTAAATAGCTATGATATTGCATTGGTTTAGCCGGAGCTTTATTTATCAGCCAAATTTACCACTATTCTTGAGCAGTCGAAGCATCATCATTCAACTAATCGCGATCCGCCACTAGTGGAAGTGCTCAGTCGTTCGCTAGGAACACGCTAAACACGGGCCATGCCGAATTGAAAGCATTTGAATTTTGGTTTGGCTATTCCGTCTATCATCGTAAAGGCCCGCATTGAGACGACTGGATTTCATAAAGGGAAGGCGAGTTGTGCAAAATATGAATAAAATCAATCAAATTATATCGCAAAGTCCATAACGCGGATTGGAACTTGAATCTAAGAAACAGCCGAGCGGTAATCAAGACGAGAAATATACCACCAACCTATCCAGAGCCCCGAATTTTTTCATTCGTCATGGTTGCTGGCAGTGAACCTTTGAGCAACTCATCTTCCGGCATGTTTTCTGTGGCCCTCAAGCCTCCGTAGCTTGTTGCTTGAGAATATTCAATATGCCAGGGTATTTGCAATTCTCATCAAATTTTGCGTATCTATCAGCCGGACTAGAAATATTGGACGCGGAGCGCGTGTTCATGAGCACTTTCGTGGCACGTGGCCTCCTCACACTTTCGATCTTTTTGAGTACGTCGGGCACACTATCCCGTGTGATACCAGGTTGTGTAAGAAGACGAAGACCATCAGCGTCTTCGATAGCCATGTTAGCCCCTATTCACAGTCGAATCAGCGCCGTATCGAATGTCACACTATGGTAAGCCGCGTTACCCTGGCCCTGTAGAGGTGTCATCGCATGAGCTGCATCACCAATGAGGATCGCTCGTCCGGAGGTCCAGGTCGGCAAAGGCTCAAGATCCTGGAGTTCCCACAGCTTGACTTCAGCGGCAACCCTAAGTTTCATCAGCAAACAGAATTGAATCAAATGTTTTCTCGACTAATTACCGCAGCAATGTTTTAATCTCATGATCAAAATCATCATAAATCTCCAGGATTTCATCGCGATCGGCATCTGCGTTCCACGATTGAGTCGAGCTCTCCCTCTCCTTTTGGGTCTGGAATATCCATGCCATGTTCATCCAAGCGCTGTCGCGAAGTGGATATGCTACCATTAGCCGCGAGGTGCCATCCAGTGCTTCGACGAGACGCATATGGCCTTGTTTTTCTTTACGCTGATCCTCCCACCATTGTGGCAGCTTTCCAAGGGCCTTCTCGACTTCTTCCGCCGATACCGCGACCCGGCAACACGTCAATCCTGTCTTGCGAGCGTCAACGGGTTCATCAAGTATCTTATTCCGCAGTTGAGAATGAATACCATCAGCAACTATAACTTCACGTTAGGCTCTTCGCCCACTGCGCATTGTAGTGACAATAACTAGAATTTTACTTACCTATAACAACATCTGCTTCAACCGTAGAGCCATCCTCTAACGTGATCCTTCCAGCTTCAGCATCTAGGTCTACAACACCGTTATTCTACGCCGTAACTGCAGGGATCGCGCTTGCACCAAGACCCAATTCTTCAGGGGAAGCTGTGGCCAGCCTCAGCAGTTCTGTGCGAACGTCGACGCGCATGTGGCTCACGAGGGGAGAGCCGTATCGTTCTCTCGTATTGAACTCTGTACTATGGAGGTACTTTCCATATTTATCGACGGTTCTCCAGCCTCCAAGCTCGACGGAGCCTACGCGTTTGTAGTCAAAACCCATATCGCTGAGGATGTGCGTCGAGTTTGCAATGCCTTGACCTCCAATTGTGATGGAGGGTTCCCCGCGCTCGTACACCGTGACTTCGTGCTTCTCACGTAGGATCCGAGCCGCGGCTAAACCAGCAATTCCGGAGCCTACGATCGCTACTCGGAGGCGAGTGTTGTTAGTGGCCATTTTGTTCTACGCCGGACGGAAAAGAGGTGAGTTTGGTTGGAAGAGAGGAGGGGTAGCGGTGGCTCAATACTCGGTTAGTTTGCGAGGAGTCTATGTTTCCAACTACTCGGAACGTCACACAGGAAATACGTGGTCACAATATCGGCGGATAGATTACTATGACGGGCTTCAATCTCGTGCGACACTACACTACATCTATTTACAGGTCTACAGGATGATAATTCTTCGGCTTTGGCGCCACGCTAGGGCTTGTACTGGCAGGGGTTTTTTGGTAAGGAAGTTTCCTAGATTTACTTGCTGAGCAAGGGCTATTAAGTAGCAAAACACGTCGAGACTGATCAACAGCTATTTTTCTACATGAATTATATAACAGCCTTGTGACAAACAGCTCTTGCTTTCCTAGTATCTAGCGTGGCGCTAAAGAATTATTATCCTGTAGACCTGTATCGTGAGGCGGCTCGGGTTCTAGCGCGCTCAGTCACTAGCTAGCGAAGCATGGCGCAGACTTCCGAGCGGAGATAATTTACAGGTTTCGTGGCTGAGCCTGGAACATAACAATGTCTAGGCATACAGTATTTTTCCGTGTCTGCTCCAACTTTTTATGTTGCTTGAAATATGTTACCTCCGTGGAAGTTGTTTATCTTGTAACTTAAAATTCTATTATTATCCCTGTTGCCTGACATAATAGCGCTGGTGATGTTTTCCAATAAGCACTGCTCTTTCATACAATCTCGATTGGTCTAGTGGTAAGGATACCTGCTTGTCATTCAATGATCATGATTCATGGAGAAAGCCGCAGGTGGCCGGGGTTCGATTCCCCGATCGAGAGTGTTTCTTTTTCCCCTATTTTTGTCCTGGGCGTCTTTTTTATCAATGGAATTTCCGTCAGAATTCTACCTAACCTTTATTTTCTGGCAAACAAGATCTTGCGCGCAAGTGGTAATTAAGTGGGTGCAGCAGATATTTTAGGATTTCATTTCTAGCGGATGGACCCAACAACATTTCGTAAACTACCGGCTTTATTTCGGATGACTATGCGTCAAAGGAGATCCAGGCAGCGCTGATAGAGTAAAAAACATCGCGATTTCTGAGAGACCGACCTTGAAAGTCGAGACATCTTTATTAATAACGTCACTCATCAATGACTGCAGTACCCGTCCAGATAGATGGTGTCTACTGTATAGCTTGGCGCTACTGGAGAGGGAAGTGGCACTGTACCAACGAGGGCTTATCCCACCACGAGAAACTCAAGATTTAGTACCTGCGGGTGTGAAACAACAATCCTTTAGCTCGCATTATCCATGAGAACCCTCCAAGGTATCCTAACGCCATCTATACATAGTATGCATTACAACCCTGGCTTGACACCAAGTGGACCCAACAACTCCTTGCGAGCCTCCCCTTCCCTCGCGCCAACCGCGACCGCAATCCGGTTCCCTTGGTCGATAGTCCATTTAATCGGCCCATCCGGCAGTTCTTCAACACCCAGCAAGTCTTCCAAGCCCTCAACACGCGGCACCAATCCAAACTCTGCTTTGGACTGTCCACCGTACCGTTCCGGTATACACTCGATATCGATCGTTTCTAAGAGGGTAGTCAAGACATCTGCGGGGGGCACTACCACTAGTTTCGACGCCGTGTTCGGGTCAATCCAGCCCTTTATGAAAGACCAGATCCTAGAAAAATACGGCGGCGCATTCAAAACGTAAATCTTGTCTACGACTTCTGGGTAACATGTCGCTAATAGTCCCGTGATGCTCTGCGCATACCCTCGTATGCTCCACGCCTGCCTGAGGCTTACGTAAGTTATGTCGGCGAGATATATCGCTTTGGAAACTGGCTGGTCCGGATCAGGCCGGTCCGCCATCGCGGAGCAGAGAGGCAGCACGAAACGCGTTAGGTAGTCGATAGATGTGATTGCGCGGCATGTAATCTGGGACGGGGTGTAATTATGATATTTTGCAAAGTTTGGCCCGTCCACTGCATAACCCGCGTTAGTAATCACCATATTGGACGTAATCTATAAACATTCAGACGACCGGGAAGATCTTCGGACATGATTTTAGATCTGGTAGACGATTTGCGCTTTTGGGTATGAAGGTAAGAGTACGCGGGATAACCCCAAAAACTACTTACGGTTGGCCGCGTCAATAGTGCATATGGGGAGGCCGTGTTTGGTTCGATGGCCTGACCAATGGGGGTACTGCGGTGTATAGATTGTCAGTTTACCTTGGTTTAAGGTGGTGAGACGCTAAGATGACTGGAGTTAGTAAAAAGGGAACTATGACTACACACAATGCCACGCAAATGCTCGAAGTCGTCGATATCGATGGTGTTGTATGCTTCGGCGGTATTTACGGAACTTCGGATTGCCTGGGCTTCTTTAAACTGCCGCAGCGCTCCGGGCACGTCGAACGCGCGAGCGCAAAGGAACCTCCTGAAGAAACAGAATTAGTGTTTGGTTATGGTGCAATGGCAGTAAGGCTCCAGTACAATAGGGTGACTTCATCGTTCAAGCCATCCAGGGTATCCCCAGCTGACAAGCCGGCGGGACGCTGGAGGAGCCCGTGGTCGCGACATTGCTCAACGAACGACTGAAAGCGTTCCTGTTCATCAGCCGTGAGCCCGGTGGTGGGCCCGTTAAGCTCTCTGTCGCTTGCTCTCGGCTGTCCGGTGGTGGAGCCGTTAAGCTGCCCGTTCTCCATTTTCCTCGGTCTCAATTCGCCGGTGCTATCTTGAGATCGTACGATGTCGAATCAATATTACCACGAAAAATATGGCCAGACCGACAAGCGGGATTTGCTTACTGGCCGGGATACGGCCCGTGCGGTGGGTTTTTGATGCCGTAGGATCTGGAAGGGAGCTCAATAGGAACGCTCTCGCGAATAAAGAGCTGACGGATCTACGGTCGGACCTGCATTTATTGAACTTGGCGTCTTCGGCACTGCCTTTTCGGGTCAGTTAGCTATACCTTTAGCCTTGCCTTAACCATGCCAATCGCATGCGCAGAGACACATATTCGAGAGGCCCAGAATATCATGGGCATCTCATATGACTTATATACTTCCGGTGGTGGTCCATCTCTCTGGCGTTGAGGATACCTACTGTATCCGCCAAACCAATGTAAAGTTCAAGCGATAGCCCGGACATCAATCCCGGAGATTTCCGGAAGTGTAGATAGGGGCGTTATTAGATACACGAAAAAGAAAAGACGTAGCTGAAGGATAATTCCTAATTGTGACAAGCACATGCATTATATTTGCGCCTCTTGCTGTCCGTAAATGTTGCGGTACCGAGAAATAGAGTGCGAGCGGGTGCGTGCTATACTATAATAGGAAATACGAGCTTGCCGATCTTTCCTCCATTAGGCCGGGAGTTGTTGGAGTTGCGCCCGTGTCCAAGCACTGTAAGCAGCAAAGAGGTCAACATGCTTCCAAGACTCACAGAAATCAGCGGTAGCTTTATATCTTTCCTTTATATATTCCTCTTTGCCTGCTTGATCTCGCGCTTGGAGTTCGCAAGCGATAGCGTAAGCCACCTTTTCCAAGCACACGGGGCAAAGATATGGTGGTTGCCGCACATCTTCTGCCATGCCGGAGGTACCTTGCATGTTGCAAGCGTAATAGATACAATGACCCACCCCGAAACAATGCCCCAGTTCATGAACCAATGTGCGGGCAACGCGCGAGAACCATAAGCCACTCTGACCTTCAATAGTTGACGATGTATAGATGTTTCGGGTTGCTTGGACGGCCTGTTGTAGTGGTGAGTCCGGAGTATCGTGCACTGATTTTATATATTTTTTTGGCTCGAGTCCTTCCACGGCGCATAGGCTATCGGCGAACTTCTTGCAGTGCGAAGCTGGCCACATGTGATTATGGTCAATGTTCTCATGCGCATCGAGGGCTGGATGGTACCGAGCTGAAGAAACGACGCAAACACGGCTCCCACCGTAAGCTCGTCCGCAACAGAAATCATCATCGTCATCCTCGTACAAGTCGAGATCCATGAGCAGGGCTATCGAGTACGCATCATCGGGCAGGATTTCAATAGCCGCATCAAGAATATCGTTCAAGTTCAACTGCCTCTTAAACTTCTTGTCAGGAGCTTCCCGGGTGCGGATGCGGACGCACAAGTCATTGTGCGCAAGTCCAACATAGTCATGGTTGCTTCTTGACTTGGTGCGATGCGGTGGCTCCGTCCATGGCACAAAGCGCAGCTGTTCTGGCAAGAACTTGACGGGAAGGCCATGGTAGAATGCACTGACGTACTGTAGGGATGCGTTGGCCGATGGCGGGTTGAGATCCTCAAGCTCACTTGGGGCGGCTGTTGTGGGTTGCGCCCAGCTACTCATGATGCTCACACCTGGCGTGACGATGGGTGGCGCAGCAACATAAAGAGTGCTGCGTTCTGGCGTGATCTTATTCCGTGCACTCAAACGGAGCCAGGATCGAAACGACTGGGGCGGGCAGTCGGGATCCCAATTGAGCTCATCCTTCGGCAGCAGAAGGGGGCCAGGAAACGAGAGTGAGAGTTGTTCCGCCGCCTCTTGGCTCAGCTTCTTCACCGTCTTCGCTGGCTTCCCTCTCGTCGAAAGAGGATTGCGGCCGGATTTTGTTGTCGCGGCAAGCCTTGTTGCAGCGTTGGGTCGCTCAAATCCAGCCTCTACAGCCCATGGCGAGCACTCCAGTAGTAACTCATCATGTTGACAGGCATTTTTGCCAGCCATCCTGACGCTTCAGAGGTCAGCAGCTTCCACACGCTGTCTTCTCGCCCAAAATAACAAATCGCACACAGAGTTGCTTATAATGGTTCATCTGACAACTTTTTGCAGACTGCGCAGAAGAAGGCTGTGTCTGCCTTGTGTAAGTGATCCAAGGGTCACCTCGGGCGATCTGAATCTCATTTCGTTCATGAAACATGTTTTGTTATACCGATAGTATGCATCTAACCCTAACCTTGGTGGAGGTGCAGGTGCCCGGAACCTTAGCGGGCGGGTGCGTCATTAGGTACCGGGTTGTGGGGTAACCCCATGCACTCGGGACCCCACGGGCCATGGCACGATACAGCCTAGTGCATGGCGCTGGTTCTTTGTGACTGGGATGCATGCTTCGTAACACTTTGCTGCCGTTCATCCATCCCATTGGATCTTTTCCGCAGAATTCGATTCTCGTCTCCGCCCAGGATTCCTTTGGTGCCTTGGCTGCCGCATTATCGTGCACTCAGATAGAGCCTCGATACCTAACGGGAATCCTCGATCCATTTTGGGGTTCGAGTCGGGAGCGGCTCACACTCTATCATCATCACCTCGTCGTCGTTGCTTTTTTGGGGTTGCGATACTCAGCATCGGTTCACCGCTGTGCTTTCGGAGCCAACGAACCACCCTTTATAATGGCTCTGGGCCCTCCAACTCCAGATCACACGCCGCTGCTGTCGGTACCACTCGAGATCCGCGACGCCATTTACGAGCTCGTACTCGAGGCCGAGTGGGGACATTCTTCGCAGGACTTCTTCGTCCTTGACCGGCCCCTACCCGCGCTCTTCCGCATCAGCAAGCAAATCCGGTCCGAAGCCCTGGATGTCTTTCTGCTCAAGAACCATTTTCACGTCTACACTAGTAGCATTGGTCTCAAATGGCTTGACATACTCGGAAGAGACGTTAACAGATTCCGCTTCCTAATTCTCTTCATCGACCTCAACCTTGACGCATGGCATAAATACCTCAAGGCTCTTTTGCCCGTCGTCTCGGAGTATCTGGAATTGAGAATTCGGAAAGCGGCCGTCTCTTTACCCAACGCCCGGCTTGATTCGTTCCTGAAAACTGCTGGA